AAGCTTATAATAAATAAATATCTATTAAAACTACAATAGTGCGCTCTAGCAATCTTAAATATACTAGTGAAAAGGCCGTTTTCGGTGGCCTTTCGGGAGCCCTAAGTACTGGGGCGGGTCCAGATATTTGCAGTAGGGGGTCCAGAAAGAAAAAAACTCTTGGAATGACAAGTTTAAATGACAAAATGACATGGTCAACCATCTTTTGTCTAGTCACCCTCCCATGAATAAGAGAAAATTATTCTTAAAAATGAACTCCCACCCCACAAAGGACAAAAAAGAAAAAACTGCTGTCTACATCTCTATAATTGTTTTGCCTGCCAAAAAACAAATTAAGATAGTATGGGGTGGTCCGGATGTTGCTGACAATCACCTCCTCTGGATCTGCTGCAGAAGTAATGTTTAGATAATCAGTCTGTCAAGACCAGTCGGCCAAATACTAATGCCGCATACTGCATATTTGAGGCTTGCTAATTGTTAAATTGAGTAAATTAGCATAAGAATGTGGCAGTACACTTTAGTAGATAGAAGCCGTAATACTTTTATTCATGACTGATAATAGTAAATCAACTTCAGTAAATGAACCCTCATTTTAAAGTTTATAATGTGGAGAAAATGAATATATTAAAAAGTCACTGATACTGCTTTTGGCATGGCAAGCCTCATATATACAAGATTAATATCCTAATGCAAATATTGAATACTGCTAAGAATAGTGAATCCTAACGTATGTTGCTTTTGTAGCGTAACAAGTCCTTATCCAATATTTTGTATTTTGTTGTAGTGTAGAATAATTTTTTTATAAATAGAACTCAAAAAATGCACATAATGGTAAGCCACCTTAAAAAGAATTGTGCTATCTTCACAAACTTTTGGTCTTACTCAAATTAGTATATGGCGAGACTGGTATACTAATTAATGTACATGTACATAGCAATGCGTGGCGTGACCTCTTAATAATCATCATATATATAATACAATAAATATAATAATATAGCTTGTTTTTATGTTTCTATTATTTCATCTTAAACATTTAATTCAGTTAATTTCATCTTCCTTAACGTTGTAATAAATTTATATTTTATTAATGTATTATTTTGTAATGTTATATCAATTTTAACTTGTAAATATGTACAGTATTTTTACATTGTTAAGAACCTTTGCAATATAAATTAGGTAAATAAACTAAAATAAATCATGGCTGATCATCATGTACTGGATGTGTCATTAACTGGATCATGCTTTATTATGCTTAATTGATTTGTTCATGGCTCAGCATGGGTGATTATGATTTGATTATGATTGATTATGGTTGACTATTGTTGATCCTGTTTGAACATGGTTTTTCATGGTTGATTATGACTGATCACGAACTGTATACTCTGACAATGTTTATTTACAAGCAGTACTGTTCTTGGTTGGACAACACTTAGCCTGGTTCACGTCAAACTTGTGGTTATGATAAAGTTTGTTAGTCGGTACAGTTTTGTCCACCTCATTTATATTATTTTATTTCTTGTGTATGCTTTAATAGTCTTATCCATTTTTTAAGGTAGGAAAGCAAAGCCATGATAATGTAGGGAACAATGCGTTATAAAATGAATACAGCAAATTAAGCATACTACTGGTGCAGCATGGTATTGGGCTTTCAATAGTAACAAATAAAATGGGTTTGTGGTAGGAGGTGAATGATTGGAATAAAATTGGTAGTGCTAAATTACTGTACATGCATAAATATAAATACTCCTCAGGTAGTAGATGAGGCTGCATGTTGTGTATGTTTGAATTTGTATCCAGTGACTAAGGGAATGTTGCCTTGAGCAGAAATAGATATGTGTGCTGTATAAATCCTAATAATAAAATAATAACAATCATAGTTATTGAAGCAAGCTCTTACATGCCCACTACATACCTGCTTTACTTAAAAGTAAATTATTACTGTTCCAGGCTGTTGTACCCGTTTGTGTTGAGCATTGCCTTAAACTTGGCAAAATGTAAGTTAATTCTTTTATTATATGGAGGTAAATTAATATAAAAGTACATCATGATATCAAATTGAATTTCAGTGTTCTAAACAACTTGCAGTTTGTGTTAGGAACTGTAGTACAAAAGGTAGAAATTTTAAATAGCATTTGACTATACACATTAAATATTGAAACAGTTATTTTTATCATAAGTAAACTGTAATTTTGAATATACTGAAAACTGAATTATTATTATTAATTATTTAATTTATAGTGATATTTTATTTGGACCAATCTATGAGCGTTTCAATCAAGACATAACAGCAAATGGTGTTTTCCTAGAGTGTTTAGAACCATACATTCTAAATGACCGCCTGACTTCCATTACACCTGCTGTAATGAAGGATTTTGTAGACCACTATCAAATGAAGGGAATGGTGCAGAACGTAGAGGCTTGCATTGTACATATGGATGTAGCTAGTCTGGATATACACCAGGTATGTAGCTAGTATGGATTCACACCAGGTATGTAGCTATACGCCAGGTATGCAGCCAAAAGTATGCTTGGGCTGATGTTTCAAAACTGCAAGCAAGAGTGTATTATATCTTTCTTATAGTTATTTATAAATAAGTTTCTTCTTTCCAATCATTTAAAATAGAATGGACTCATAACAAATGGTTATGCTTCATCAGTCTAGCAGCCAGTTGGCTTGGTTCCTTACCTAATACCTCTCCAAAATCAAGGAGAGCAAGACAAGGCTTACACTTGTTTATAAATGTCTTAATTTACATTTGAATGTTAATATTGTCTCTATGTTTAATTTTAATGTTCCAGTAAATGACTTCTGTCGTCTTTCTTAAGCTTACAATTATTGTCGTTCTGAAAACGATAGTCTTGATATTTTTTATTGTAGTTTCAACCAATTTAAGTGTGCTATTATTGTCCTTATTTAATATTTATTGCCGGTTTTGGTTTTATTTATTTGGTTTTTTTCTTCATATTACTTTTATATCCATTTAGATTTATATTATAATATGTTGTATTTAAATGTTATTTCCATCCTGTTATTGGTGTTTCATGCTGTTGGATGCAATGAATAAAAACAAATGAAATAAAGATATGCACCAGGTTTGAAGCTAGTATGGAATTTACTACAGATCATCCCAATTATTTCTACTAACTACTGATTATGCCTATTTGCCATAGCTGGCCTTTTATTAACAAATGAACATACAGTAATTCCAGTCTAGGGCTACTGTATCATCCTAAATGGCTAACACCTCATGCAGGACTTTATATGGAAAAATATTTAATGTTGTTTTAATTAGGAGAACACTGCTAATACAGTAAAGTAATCTGTCCTAGTACTGGATAATATAGTTCAGATGATGACCATGATAGTACATCCATACATCAAATTATGATGGCATTCACAAAATGATGTTGGTGTTGTATTGATTTTAGGTAGTGAGTCTATGCTGGTCACATGGTTTGTATGATGCTATCATCTATGTGTACAATAAAGGGATGCAAGATTACACAACACCATTGGAGGACCTGCTGAAGAAACTGAACATTGCTGTACAAGCTGGAAAACAACTCACAGGTATTCTTGCTAATTATGTATAAGTAACATAGACTGGATCAAAAAAGTTCACAGAAGGGTATCTACTGTAGGAGAATTCTTAGACCCCACTGTGGGCCAACATCATATGACGAACGTTTAATTACACTTGGTTGGTTATCTTTACGTGATAGACGATTAATGATTTTAATTTCATTTATTTTTCGATGTTTATATAAGGTTGCTTCCTGTAACAGTGTTTCCAACAACATTCAAGTCAACCCGCGTCACACCGAATCACTCGCGTTTATTCATCATTTTGCTCGTACTGATGCTTTAAAATATACTCCAATCCATAATTTTCCTGTTGTTTGGTCATCAATTCCTCCTTTAAATAAAGATTATGCTTTTGTTCACCCTCTTAAATTATATTTATTTAAGTTAAGAAAACACCTTCTTGATAATACATAGGTTTTGTATAAATTGCAACTCCCTGATTCTGTGCAATTTCATTTTAATTATATTTCACTTCCATAAACCCATCCCTTTTCAATTGCATATTTTTTTTTCCTTTTTGAATCTTGCATTTTATTTACTTCTATTTTACTGGACCTTTCAAATTGTTGGTCTTTGAATTGTTTTTTTTTATTGAATTTGTAAATATCTGAATTTTAACTGTGTAATCTGTTGTTTGTACAGGGGTTGCAGACACATTCGTGTTATGGCGCATTGTTGCTGATGCAACCCCTGGACCGTTGATGTCAAATAAATGAATGAAAAATGAAAATGAAAATGACAACTGATGTAATCTGACAAGTGTGGCCAGTATTTGGCACTTGTCCATACGAAACAAGTTTTTAGCAATAATATATATATATGCAATTCTTAAGTTAGAAGGTTAAATAGAAATAAAAAATTAGTGTGTGGATGGTGGTCAGTTAAGTTTAAAGAAGTTTGACCCACATATAAAATAACAGTATTAATAATGAACAAAGAATAACATAACATGACCTAAAAAATGAAATGAATTTAGTAGTGTTTGACAGTCAAAATTAGAAGTAGTTTGGGGAGGGGAAACTGTGACAGGTGCTTGTATTTTTCTGCTCTTCAAATTAATGATTAGATAACAGTTTTTACTTCCTCTTTTTGTTTATATTGTTATCAACAATATAAACCTAGGCATAGTCTGCATAAAAAAAAATGAGGTTGACTTTGTAAACACATAAACTAGTGGTAAAATTGTAGAAAGCTGAAATTTCACATGTACGTGCTGTCTGGTGTGACGTTTAACCGCTGGTAATGTTTGATGAATAATAAAGATGTAGGTGATAAAAACAATCCAAAAAATATTTGCTAAACATGATTGCTTGAGGTTACGTGCAAAATTTTCTCATAAATAAGATCATCCATGAATTCCTATTATGAGAGTCGAGTCAGTCCTGTCTCTGTATTGCTTCCTTGCAACACAATTGGCCTCTAGGTATGTATTCCAAAAAACCGCCAGATTTGCGGTACACGTTTGATGGAGAGCTGCGGCAGATGCCCGTTTTTTGCTGGCAGCCAAACATTTAGAAATGTAATAGGCCTAGTATACGATGTTCGGTTTTCCATACAGTACGGTTTGTAGGCCGCTCTTTGTTCGCAGGCATACAGCCAAGCATTAGTATTTAATGTTGTATCAAAGGAAATCACAATTTCTCGTGTAGACTGCCGATATTTACTGTCTCAAATTTTCGAGCATGTGGGTTATCACAATAATTTTAGTTAAATTTATTCAAATTTAATAATGCTTAGTGAGCATATTTATTTGTTATTCAATCAATCATCCTATTACTATGATGATGTCTCATAAAAGCCGATATTCTAAGCTTAAAGCCACAACTACCATACTTAATCCTACCAGGGCACAGGTGGGCAAAGTGCGGCCCGACCGCAATTCTTTTGTGGCCCGTGAAAATGAATTTAGAACCTGTGTGTGCGGCCTGCCAAGCAACATTGGCTGGAAAAAACATTGTTTCTTACGACCCGACACCGATCATATGTAAGAAGTAACATCAAAACTGAAAATAAACTGGTGTAAAAGCAGTAATTGGAGGTTTTCAGAAGCACACTGGAAACATAAAAGTTTGGGTGTGGGACTCGGTGTTAAATAAAAAATTCCCTTTGACCCTTCGACCGCTTTTATGCCAACCCCAGCGCCAGCAAGGTTTCCTACTACACTACATACGGGACTAAACAAAGCATGCAACATCATGCGTCTGGTTGCTTCTAAACAGGACAGGACGAGAAATACCATGTGATGCACAGTTCAAGCATCGGCAGTTTTGGCATGTGACGTATGCCTTTTTACTGATAAATCACAGTAAATAAGGGATGCCAGTCAGTTTGAGCGGATGTCAGTTTGAGCGGATGCCAGTTCGAGCGGATACATTTAGTGCGAACTACAACAAGAGCGAATTTATCGTCGTCCTATTTTTGTATTTGTTTGTTTTAAATGCAAAAAATGCTCTGTGCACTAAAGTTGTGAAATGTTTTTGGTACTTTTTGATAATTATTCCATGTTTGAATCACAGTCTTGGCAAATCCGACTAAAAGATGGCCGCTAGAAAGCACTTAGTCCCTATATTTTAAAACTATAGAATTTCGCACACAGAATTCACGGTTTTTGTCTCCAGTTAGTTGAATTATATAGTGTTGTAACAGTATTTGTAGATTTACGATTTAGGTCTATATTCGTAAATGGGAGTAACTGTAATTGTAATTTTTATTCACCATAGAAATTTAAATTATTTTTGCACAAATCATTGGTGTAGTAGTGTGACACAGGGACGGATCCAGTGTAGGGGACACGGGTAGGCACGTTCCCCCCTCGTCTTGCCACTAAATTTTTAAAATGTCAATGCATATTAATGTTATGTGCTACTCACTTAACTATTCTGAAACTGTTGTGCCCCCACCCCGCCGTTTGAAAAATTCTGGATCCTGTAGCCCCTGTGACAGACTATCAACAGCACAGTAACTTAGTAATGTGGAAAGAATAACAATGACTAAACATTATTTTTATGAACGTAAGTATGTTTAATAGTAAATTGTTAACCTTATAAATAAATTAAATACAACTTTTTTAATACGTAAGGCTATAGGCTTTTCCCCTGGCTCCAGTAGCATATCTAGAGGTCTTGAAATGGGGGTGCTGATTGGGGGTGCGAAGGTAAAGTAGGGGAGGGCTCGATGATTAGTTGAGAGATGCTAACTCACAAAATAAGGTGATTTTAGTTGATTTTTAACTACTTGCAATTGATTTTTTTTTTTGGGTGGCTCCCAGGCAAAGCCTGAGCCTCGGCCGAATGCAAATTGTTAGCTCAAAATAGGAAATTTTAAAGTAATTCGTACATAACTTGCACAGGCTGTTGTTCGCACTACAAGGAAATCTTTTCTCCGCTCGAACTAGCATCCGCGTAGATAAATTCCACTCGAATCCGCTTGAACTGGCATTCGTTCGAAGTGGCATCCGCTCGAATGGACTGGTTCCCTAAAAAAAGTATTACAGCTTCAAGAAAGCTCTTATTTTTATATCAATCACACATTGATTTCACAAGTTTTCATTCTGCAATCATAAAAGTGCATAAGCAGTATCGTCAATATTAGCGAGTTTCTAAACCATGTGTGTTCTGACGATGTTCATAATTGTTTTTTTATTGTTTGGGTGAAGTGTTTAAAACACTATGAATGAATGTAATATGAAAATAATTATTTAAACAGCCCAAACCACTGCTTGAATGAGGTAGAAAATGTAGGAATCCTAGTACAGAACTGTAGTGAGTATAATTACAAATACAGGGCTAGCAAGCCTAAGCCCTTAGAAGTCTAGACAATTTTCGCCAGGGTTTGCGATCAGGGAATTATTGAGGAGTAGGTTGATAAATTTATACAATGGAATAATATTCGTAAGTATTGTATTTGTGTAAATACTGAAATGTATAAAAATGTGAAATAAATCAAACCATATAATTATATAATATTTTTATCATGAAAAACCTGATTCAGATAATACAAACAATATCTAGTAGCAATTTAGGGCCTACTATAAAAAAGGAAATAATTAAAACATTTTTTTTCTCCCCAAAATATTTTTTTCTAATGCCATAGAAGACGTGCACGCAAGGGTTATAAATTAATTTGTTTTATAGGGCCTAATAATATTAACAAAACATCTTGCATAATAATCACCTTTAAAACTGCTAACCAAGAGCACTATAAATATAAAAAACCTTACCCAAGGTTAATTTAAATCAAAAACCATTTTAAGCAAATTTAGAAGTACGCTATTGCAAAATTAGCGAAGTACAATCAGTTTTAACGTACACACATAGGACCTACAGTGTACCTAATTTTTTTTTCTAGGTCCGCACACATTGTAGTCTATTTCGTGAAGGCATGCATGCTGTCAATGCATCTGGTTATTTGCTCTTCTTCCTTTCTAGTCCTGTTCTTGTGCCAGATGCTATATCGTTGATGCACGAGTGCATTGGTTTGGTCGCAGACCAGTTTGCGACGATTGCTCTTTCAGCGGGTTCGGCTCATCGTACTAATGTCCTTTAGGGTACCTCTATCTCACAGGGCCATTTTGACCGCTTATTCAGCTGCCTATTCTACGGAGCCGAGGATTTGTTTTTCGGTGCCCTTGGCGCCCATGTTGATGTTTGGGCCCAAGAGCTTGAGGTTAACCAGCACACGTACGCTCGTGTTCCCAGGGCCGCTGACCGGGCTAGCGTTCATTCCAGGTCCGGGTGTGCGGCTTCCTCATGTCCTCCAGCGGTTCACCGTTACCCAAGGGCCTACCAACCTCCTCCTGCACACCCTGTAGCGCCTCCCCCTCCTCCTCTTACGAATGTCCCGACAGCGCTGTGGCCCCGGTGCATCAGCCTGCTTCCGGTTTGGACTCTGCCTATCATGGTGGTCGCCAGGGCCAACGTGGGCTGGTGGGTCCCCGCTACTGCTGAGGGTGGTGGTCCGTCGGGCACCGCAGGTGCACCTGTACAGTACTGTATTTAACACATTGTAATTTATAATAACTAACAATATCACCAGCTCTGGCACAGGATTAGTTTATATATCATTGTCACAGTATACTTTTATCCAACATTAAGGCACTCATTAATTAATGTTATTTGTATAATTTTTTTATATAGATCAACAAGTAAGACTTGGAAATAAACTTTTAGTGTACATAAGGTAAGAATCTTACAAAAATGATACTTAGTCTCTATTTTATTTAATCTCCCCTTTTTATATATAAACAAATACAATTTATTGACAGTTTAGTCCTTCATTATTATTTGTCCAGGGAATTTAGTTGTCTGTGTTGTCACCAATTTTTTTCTCTGTGATTTCATGTATGTTTCAGTTGTTGTCTAGCTGGAAGAGCTTATCCATTAGGTGATATTCCACATTTTCTGGTTAATCAAGTTAAAGATGGAGTAAGTATTATCTAATTCATTTCACCTGTGATTTCTTCATTACATTGAAGTAGTTCTCATGCCCAAAACCCAAGTATAAGTCCCCAACATTGTCACAGTGGTCCGTAGAGGTTTCTTGTTTCTGAACTAGGCAGAATGTCTAGTCTGATGGTTTTGTTTTTCGTCATTGCATCCTCTTTATTTAGGAATGTGTGCAGTTGGAACATGTAGGCAGTGTTTCTGCAGCACTTATTACCCGATAAATTATTGGAAAGCAGCCATTTCATTATTTTTCGCTGTGGAAACGGGGCCCAAAGTTTCCAATAATTTTTTGCATGAGAATCAGATAATTTATCGATAAAAGCTCCTAATGCAAAATTAGATAAAATTTGACTGATATCATATCAGGGTCATGCAAACAATTCTTTTGGGTAGTTAGTTTCTAAGGCAACTAGTAGTTAGTAAGCCTAGAGGCCTAGGCTAGGCTAGTATCAAACACATCATAAAAAATAGTTTGTAAATTTTCGTGCATCTGAAATATTTTTAAAAAGCCTCAAAACGGCTGCGCTTACCGTAACATAGACATTGCCTGGCTGGGCCTAGGTCCATCCCTACCTATTGTGTATTGTACCGTAAAGCACTCTAAACAAAGCTAGCATTCTTTTTAGTCTTCTTCTCAATCCCCATAGAAGTAAATAAAACATCATTGTGATAGTACATTTTCCAGAGTGAAGTAGTACTATTAAAACGATTTCGTTCTTGGCCTATGCATATCTATCTCGCGCAAAAAAATTGGTCACATGCTAACTCAACAAAAAGGATGTTTTGATGTTAAGCGCATTTCATTGTCCATAATTTTGCAAGGTGGAATAAAATATTTGAAGGGATTTTAAATAAATAATCATAGAAATTATTGGAGAAACACAGCCATAAATGTTTAATCAATTTAAGTTGGAAAACAGTAAAAAATGTATGTCTGCCTATAGGTTTGGAAATGTTTGACACAGCTTCATACTGAAGAGCAGCCGCCGGATGAGCCTGTGTACCCACATCTTAGAACATTGCTTGGATTTGACACTAGAGAGTTTCTGAATGTCCTGGCTTTGGCATTTGAAGAGCCAGAATTCAAAGTGCAAGAGTAAGTTATATGGTGTTATATTGGTGGGTGTGTATTTCGTGTGTGAATACATATACCGATGTAAAACCCCTCAATGAACAATTTTCTTAACAGTTATGTGACCTTGACAATAAGGATGTTGGAAGGAACATTCTCCCTCCAAATTAGCATGAGTTTAAATAATATGCCATGAAATTCTTTTTCAAATAATTATATTGATTTCATACAGAAAGTAACAAAATTAGACACTATTTCATTGATTTACAACGGTATGATCCTCTGTAAATGTGTACGTAAAGTCAAGCATTTTTAAAAACATGTAAAGCGTTGCACCCTCCTTCCCCCATTTAGCTGGAGCTGCCACTCTAGGCTACACTTATTTTTCACAGAATTCACACTATAATCTTTCTCCCTTCAATCTTGAGGGCTCACATGTAGTAGAGCAAATTTTTAAGCTACGTAATAGTAGGTAGTAGCTGGTAAATCATAGGAAGTAATATTCAAATCAAGTTGCTGCTTAACACTGGAAACACAAATAATGTACAAGTCAGATAGATAATAATACAATGCTCAAATATATAGGAACATGATGTCATTATGAACATATATATTTGAGCACTGTATTATTATCTTTTGCATTTATACATTATATATTGTGTATATTAATATATTATATATTATTTATTATGTATCGTATAATACAATGTACTGTAGCTACTGTATATTTCTGTACTTTCGCTTACAAGAGGGTAGCCCAAAGCAATAGGGGAAAATCCAGTAGGGGAGAGGGACATCACTGGGAAGGGCTCCTACCCCGTTTTGCCACTAATTTTTGCTGCGAAGCAGCCAATTCATATTCTTGACAGCAATTTGACCTCTGAAAGGTCATTGTTTGTCAAAAAATGAGTGCCTAAGACGACTGAAAAGCGGAGTTTCCTTCTTTCGTTCTGTGCCTAAGACGACTGAAAAGCGGAGTTTCCTTCTTTCGTTCTGTCGGGTAAAATCAATTACTTTAGGCGACGTTTGTAGACTAACCTACTCGTACCAACGTCCGCATGTCGCGCTAGCCTTATCCTACTATAGGCCTAGACTAGCTAGGATGGTATAGACCTAGCCTTGAAGACGAAGGTCCCAATGAAAAACAATGTCGCTCTTTGATAGCTAACATTGTCTATTTAACATCACAATAATTCATTATTAGACCTATAGTTGTTTTTTGAATTCTACTCCACAAATCTTAGTCGATACCTCGCACAACTGGCTAACTATTGTCGTGACGTCATGGCTTGCTGGCTCACACTTGTGATATGTCTTGCACTTGTGATCAAATAACACGCTGGCTCGCACTTTCGCAACACTCTTTGGCAGTCAACTCGCCCCTAGAAAACCCGCCCTTGGAAACTTGCCCTATAAAAAAATGTACACTTCCTAGACCATGCAGTCTTCAAAATAAAAATTGTAACCTTTGGTAATCAACTACATTTATACATAGAAATTTTTGAAACTTTATTAAAAAAACCTAAACCATAATTCACCACACTATAGGCACTTTTTGACAAAAATGAAAAATTACGACTTTGTTACCCAATGAGAAGTGTTCAAATATAGACAATGGGTCGTGTCTCATTATTTGTTACAGTTTTATTATTCATTATTTTCACTTGACTCGCATAAATTAACACAT